CCCAGGAACGTCCTGTCCAAATCCACGGTTTAGGGAATGGGAACTAGAGCTTTTTGGCGAACCTTTTCACCATTCCGAGGCCTCGGCTTCCCAGTATTAACATTGTTGGAGGGAACTCGTTGACAGCTTCTAGCAGCTTTTCTCGGGCATCCCCTTTCTTGGATACAATCATGCAAGGTATCTGTTTTGTAGAAAAAGAAATCATGAGCTAGTCAAAAGCTTGTCACAAAGTACCTTATGCCCATCCACAATTTCCTTCATGCGGGACAGAATACCACGAGCTCGCTCTTCAAACTTCTGATCCATTTCGGCAACCCAATCCGGTGTTCCATAAAATCCCTCAACTAGAATAGAAGACAACGAAGATCATATCACAAGAACAAAAGAACAAAAGAAACTCCCTACCATCTACCTCCGAGCGAACATGAACTAGAGTGATCGCATCGTCGCTTGAAGCCAAGTTCTCCAGGGTGAACTTGACAGCATAGGCACTCGATTCAGAGTCATCCACCGCGATCATCAACGCTTTCCCCATAACCCTACCTCTGACGCTACAGTAAGCACAGAAAAGAAATTATATATCTGCGATGTCCTGCGAGAGTAATCTAGTCAGTCTTTTTTGCGACCAGGAACAATGCTTTACCTTGTAAATTCTTCGCAGGATTTGTGCGCTAAACGGTAAATCGCCACAAATCTACAGCGATGTCCAGCTCTTGTTTCTTGTGGAATTTGTACAAAGATTTCAAGTCAAATCTCAACTGCAACAAAAGATCAAGTCATCAGAACTAGGTGAATGCACTGAAAAAACTCTACCTCGAACAAGACTTCTGCGGTTTTAGCCCCGAGGTCCTGCAGAGCTGCTCGTTTCACATGCTGCCACCAGGAAAGTCATTTCAGTATTCGTCAAAACTTGGGTTTGAAGAACCTGTCTTGTAGAGCTTTTGTGTAAAGAGTAGATGGCAGTCCGTGCGATCTGAAACAACATATAGCATCACAATCGAGGAAAAAAGGAGCTCACAGTACCTTCAGAGCTACAGACAAGAACTCCATGTCAGCTCCCTTCCTTCTAGTGCCAAACGGAGGATTCATTACGACTGTGTCGACACTGATTCCTGTAATGAGAGGTGTAACATCTATATGACGTCGGTAAGCACTTACGCGTCAAACCAAGACTCTTGACATCACACTGCACGAAATCCATGTCGATCTGATCGAAGAAAAAAGAGCCACAAGTTACTTACAAAATTAAAAAAAGAAAAGGTGCAGAAGAATAACAAGAAAAAAGAAAGAAGACCAAGAACTAGTTGTGAAGTTACGAAGTTACAAGCTTACATACCTCAAGGTCCCGGCAGTTTTCTTGGGCAGTGTCTAAAGCCGCGAGATCTTGATCGAAACCAATCACGTAACTACAGAAAGAAGAAAAGAAAACGTTCAGGAAAGAAACGAATCTTGCAGAAAATAAATGCGTACCTGGCGTCGAGCAAAGACGCAGCCACACCGAGCGTTCCACAGCCACAGCCAAGATCAGCGATGGATTTCCCACAAATATCTCCAAAGTTGGATTCAGCCTGGCAAAAGAAGGAATTCGTCACGCTCACGGAGGAAAAAAGGATTTGAGAGACCATGTACATCATCCGAGAAGCGATGTGCGCGCCAGTCGGGTATTGCTCCAGTTCGATCTGCGCGACCAGAATCCAGATTCGAGTGAGCGCATTGAGCGCCGCAAGAGCGCCATACCTTTGGAGACTGGAACTGGACGAGATGGCCGAGCTCGCTCTCCAGCTGCTTGAGCTTCATCTGCGCGGCGATAAACCCTAACCCTAGAAAAAGTTTCGCGCGCATTTTGGATTTTAAATTTGGGGCAAAAAGGTGAAAGATCGGCACGGCGAGCCAGTCGCTTCCATTGCCGGATTCCACCAGGTGCTTGGTCAATTTGGCCTATTTCCAGCGAAATTTTGCTGCTAGAGACAATCCAAACCATCTGAGCGCTTTGATTTGAATGCGCTGGGCCATGGATCGTTGAAAAGCTCCAAGCAAATTCCATCGCTTTCCACTCTAGAGCTGGTGAATGCCGCCAGGAATTCCTAAGAGAACAATGGAATCGATCGCTAAATAGAGAGAGAGAGAGAGAGAGAGAGGATTAAAGACTAGAGATAAATCGCTTTCTTTTAAGCAAATCACAGCTCGGCCTTGTCGGTGACGTGCGGTTGTTTGGCGCCACGTCAAGGCCCCTGGACCGTAGTTAACGCCTAAACTACCGTGGTTAGGTTAGGTTTCTAGGACGGAGAAGACGATGGCGATGGCGCGCCGGTAGATGCAGCAGCTATGGCGGAGGGAGAAGCTCCGGACGCCGCGAGCTCCGACGGCGAGGGGCAGGAGGAGGAATTCTTCGAGACTCTCGAAGAAATCGCGACCACCTCCGGCTCCGATAGCGGTGGCAGCAGCGATGGTGAGCGTCTTGCTAGATTCAAGCTGCGGCAGCGCGGCAAGCGCCAGGATTTCGCCGCATTCCCTTCCGGCGACTCGAAATATGCGGTGTGGAGGAGCGATCCGGCCAGCGTCGGGGAGCGTAGGGTGAGATTGCTCCAGAGAATGGGGCTGGAGGATTTCTTTGGCAGCAGGGAGCCCTCTTTCCTCACCTCCAGCCATTCCTTCCCTCCGTCGACGGCCTCCACGCCTCGGGTCTTCCGCAGCATCTCGGATCCCCTCTCGGGAGGAGAGCATTTGAGGGGAGAGTCCGTGGATCTGGATCGTCTTCGCTCTAGCGACGGCTACGAGAGCTCCAGGGACGAAGATGCCAGAAATGGGGATTTGGTCAGCCCCGGCAGCCCAATTCTCGCGGATGGAAGGTCTACCGACGCCAATGTAGATGGTCAAAGCTCTACCAACAGCAGTGGCAGGGAGTTCGTGTATAGGATAAAGGATCTGGACAGCGGCAAGGAGTTTATAGTCGAGGAGCTCGGATCGGATGGGTCGTGGAACAGAGTTAGAGAGGTTGGGACGGGGAGGGAGCTGTCGCGAGAGGAGTTTGACAGTTCTCTGGGACTCTCTCCAATTGTACAGGAAATGAGGAGGGTCGACAGGGAGAACAGGAAAAAACCAGGGACTTCTTCGTCTTCTTCATCGTCTTCTTCGTATTTGCCGCTGAATGGGAAGCCCAAGAAGAAGAGATGGTTTAGCGGTTTCATGAGGCGGTCAAGCACTCCCAGTGCTGCAGCAGAGAAAGACGACGTGTCTACTGCTCAGCCAAGGTCTGATGCGAGAAGACCATGGAAAATGCAGAGAATTAAGGTGCGCGTGTGCAAGAAAGCTGTAAGAGAGTTGGCGGAATTGTACATGGGACAGGAGATTCATGCTCACCAAGGTCCGATTTGGGCTCTTAAGTTCAGTACCGGCGGACGGTACCTCGCAAGTGGCGGGCAGGACTGCGTTGTCCGGGTGTGGAAGATTGTTTTATCGAGCAATCAAGTCGCCGCTAGCGCAGCGGATGGGGGGACTCACGAGGTTAGGAAGCCACCACATCAGAAAAAGCGAGGCTCGTCAAAGACGAGCGACGATAAAGCTGGCTTGAAAGCTTTCGGGCTCGACGGTGAGCCGCTGTGCAGTCTCCATGGCCACACAGAAGATATTTTGGATTTGTCGTGGTCGTCTTCCAAGGTACCCCTGGTTCTCTTTATCTTTAGCTGCCTAACCTCTGGTTTTCTTTTCTTTTCTTTGGTTTCAGCTTCTCTTGTTGTCGTCCTCCATGGACAAGACCGTGAGACTGTGGGACGTCCGGAACCAAACGTGCCTACACGTCTTCTTGCACAAGGACTATGGTAAGGACCGAGTTGCTTGCAAACGCTTGCATTTATCTCTTTTTTTTCCTTGCAATGTTTGCCGGCATACTGAGAATTAGTGACTTGTAATCACGCTATAGCCTTTCGTTTTGTTTTGCGAGGTAGTGACATGCATTGCCTTCAATCCCGTCGATGATACCTGTTTCCTCAGTGGTTCACTGGACGGAAAGGCGCGCATATGGAGCATCATAGAGCATCAAGTCATCGATTGGACAGACTTGCGTGACATAGTAACGGCGGCATCTTACACTCCAGATGGCACGGTATTCTTTTCACACCTCGGGTTTTCTATGAGTCGGCGTGCTAACGAATCTTCCCATGTAGTGCGCGATGATAGGCCTGTACAAAGGAACTTGCCGGTTCTACGATACCAGTGGTCCGTATTTTACTCGTAGTCGGTTCCAGTGTCGGTTTTTTAAAGCTCTCCTTTTCGTTTCAGGCAACAAACTGCAGCTCTACGCGAACGTGGATGTGGTGAATAAGAAGGGAAAGAATTTCCGTGGCAAGAAGATCACTGGCATTCAGGTTCGGTAAAGAATGAAATCTTAAATAAGAGCCCAACAGTTCTGATCCGTTCTTTGTATTTCCACAGTGTATGCCAGGAAATCCGTCTAAAATACTCATCACCTCAAACGATTCCCAAATCCGTCTGTATGACAACACGGATCTCGTCGCAAGATTTAAAGGTGCGTCATAGGAAAGCAAAAGAGATTCAACACCTGTTGATTGACACGGTCTTATGTTTTGTTTATTCTTCCAAGGATTCCGCAACATGAGCAGTCAAATCTCGGCGTCATTCAACCGAAACGGCAGCTTTATCATCAGCGCCAGTGAAGATTCACATGTCTACCTGTGGAACGTGACACCTCCCACCTCCACTTGTAGGGGCCAGCTCAAGATCAGCGAGAAGTCGTGCGAGAGCTTCTTCTCGGACAGCGTCACGGTTGCGGTCCCCTGGTCGACGGAGAGCGAAGGCAAGAACGCAAGCGATCGCCGAGGTGCTCTGGACGGCATCTTCCAGTTGCTCAAGCAGAGCAGCTTCCCGGGGCCGTGCTTCGAGTGCCTCACCTCGACGGTGTTCCCGGTCACCGACGATGGCTCCACCAGGTTGATGGACTCGGCAACGCTGGCGTCCAACCAGGAAGGTGGCGAGGATGGTCACTCGGCGGTGGTAAGCGCGGCCACCGGGGCCGAGGAGAGGAGCGATGCGACGAGCGTCGACGAGGAGGGGGCCGATTTCTCGTCCGCGGGGCTGGGGCTGGTCATAGTGACGGCGAGCTTGACAGGAGAGATCCGGACGTTTCAAAACTACGTGAAGGAGGCCGCGGCGTGAGGAAGAAAAAGAATTTTGGTCGAGCTCGGATGATGGGAACGAGATGAGCTTCTTCTTCTTCTTCTTCGTCTTCCTCGGCCGGATGGACGAGAGCGAGAAACGAGAGAGAGCGAGAGAGAGAGAGGGAGAGCGTCGAGACAGTCTTGCCAATCTTGCGAGACTATAAATCGCCAAAGATTCTATACGTTGTAAAGGTTTTATTTCTCTAAACAGCTTATGCTCAGTTTTGATAAATTATAGAGATTCTAGTTTAGGTATATTTCTCCAAATTGGCAATGCCATTCGCCAAAGATTCTATACGTTGTAAAGGTTTTATTTCTCTAAACAGCTTATGCTCAGTTTTGATAAATTAGCATATCCTAGTATATCTGACCTGTTATTAATTAACAAGCTATTGTTTATCACGTTTAGTAATTGGCAATGCAAGATTCCTGATTACTCTCCATTTCCGGCAGTTTTCATTTGTTGACCTGATGAAAACTTGACATAACCGCAAAGCGTACGTTGCAATACGTTTTTGCAAAGCCCACATTGTCGTGTAAACACTATGATTTAAACAAGTCGAGATCAACACGTACTGGTCTTTAATCGAGACACTTCTATGAAGGATTAACGTCCCTGAAACTAATCCTGAACCTGCCATTGTGTCTTCAGAGAATACGGAAAGAAAATAACACAATTTCCACCTTGCAGTCGAGTTGCGCCTTTATTTCGTTGACATCCTTTGCATTTTCTCTAGAAGTGGACGTGGCCGATCACTTAATAATCACCACGAATTTCAGAGCAAGTACACAATAGAATTTACGCACACACCTTTGTCCAGGGTACTGGTTCGTTGTCACATCTGACGAACAAGTAATAAGCACACTGATGCACAAAGAGTGAACAGGATTCTTACCTTAAAGACCAATCTTTTGCCAGCATCTCTCAATTCTGTACAAGCCCGCCTTCTTGAGGTGCGTAAGCAGAACGAACGTCTTTTGACGACCTGCAAAACACGTTAACTCACTGCACAACACTTACTGGATAGCCTTTCAAGCAACCAACGGAGAGAGCTTTGTTCAATTTCGAAAACACTTGACATCGAACAAGTGTTTTCGAAATCAAAACAAAGCTCTCAGATCCGTTAGCTGGCTGATCATTTGGTCTTTTGTTCCCACTTCAATCTCGGCCACCACTGCATCGAAAATGAAAGCGTCAGTAAAAATGCAAATACAGATATTAAGATCGATCTCACCTCCCGGTGTAAAGAAACCATTCTCATTCTCCATGGTCCTCATCGTCCTCGTAACTACTTGACATGACTAAGTACTGATTGGGGCACCTTCGTCACTTTCCACTCAGGTTGGCCAGTACCACTTTGGAGCAATTCCAGTGCGGAGAATGATCATTCTCTGCGCTGTGATTTCTCCAAAGTGGTTCTGGCCAACTCGGGTTTTTTCGCTCTCTCGCTCTTGAAAGCCTTGTCAGGCCCGGTTCTGGTTTTGAAGGACATGGACGGCCTGGTGTAGTAGCTCCAATCTTCGCAATTCGAATGGCTGGTACGTGTATCCATCAAAGTTTTATACAGCAGCCAAACATCAACCCCCTTCTCAGGGTTGATCTTCTGCTGCTGTATGAAACTTTGATGGAAGTTGACGCGGCATTTTCCACATTTCGGGCGAACCACTTCTTGAGCGGAGTCTACAGAAGAAAGAAAACGGAGATACTCACGAAAAGGAAGAAAGAAAGGAAAAAGCTTGCTCATACCGTCACTGGGCGATCGAGCGCACCCTGGCAAAACACGCAAATGAGCTCGTCCTCATCGTCCCAGCAAGAACAGCCCCATTGATCTTCCGCTCCAGAGTAACATCCGCCATAGCGCCTTCAAGAACGCATGGGAAGTGCCTCACACTCCCACAGCTGCCGCAAGGTTCCTCGCCTCGACCTCTTCCGAAGTAAAAGACAACGCTGCCGCGCGCTGGAATCGCCGACGTATAGATAGTGATGATGGATAACCATTGATTCGGTGCGCTAGTTAATTATTTATCTTATGGCAAACTTTATTTTTGTGATTGATACGCGTTCCTTGCAATTCAATTATTCTCTGGTTTTCCGCTCGGCCAAGTTTTGTTCTTCACTGGAGCGAGGATCTCCTTCACTTCGTCCAAAAGCTTTTGATCCACGCTCTCCAGCTCTTCCGCCGCTTTGACGTTGTCGTGGACTTGCTGGCTAGAACACATTCCAACCAGCGTGGTGGCAATGTCTGGATTCGAGAGCGAGAACTTCAATGCTATCTCAGAGATGTTGTGACCCCTGAGTTTGCAGTGAGTAGCAGCCTTGGCGCAGGCTTCCTACAAAGAAAAACAAATCGAAAAGTTTCTCCAATGCTCCAACAAGAACTTGTAACTCTAGAGTACCTTGATTTCTTCCTGCGCTGGATGCCACACTGGAGGACCGGACTCCGTGAGTAGTCCCATGGCGAGGGGCGAAGCAGTGATGATCCCGACTCCCTTGTCCTTGAGGTACGGAACTAGACCCTCGAGCGAAGAATCGTTGAGGGAATAGTGACAGTATGATAAAACAACGTCGATTGTTCCAGGCTCGACTCTGTCCAAAACGTAGCGAAAGATGGCCAGTGGAAGCCCGGTGATTCCAATGAAGCGGACTTTTCCTTGTCGTTTCAAGCCAAGTAGCGCTGGGATTGTCTCGGATATCACCTGTGTAGAGTTTTATCGTTCCAGATCAAACTTTACAGGAAAAAAAAAAAAAAAAGGAAAGGTATCTTACTTGATCGAGGGAGCCGAATTCGATGTCATGGCACTGGATGATGTCAATGTAGTCGAGATTTAATCGCTCCAAGCTCTCGTCGACGCTCTTGAGCACTCGCTGCGCGCTAAAGTCGAAGCCATCTCCATATCTTCCACACTTTGTGGAGAGGATAAACTTCTCCCTGGGAATCGCCTTGAGAGCTTTTCCCAAGTTCTTCTCCGCGAGAGTATTGCCGTAGTACCTAAAGCAAAGAAAAAAAAAAAAAAAAGACTCAATCCTCTATCCATGCATGCTCGAGAATTTCTCCAAAAGGAAAGCCATGCAACAAAAATCCAATTGTATGACAAAGCTTTTTTCGGTGGAGGAAATTCACGATCTATTCCACCGCAACAAGATCACGCAGCCAAACAGAAGAAGAATCGAATGGATTCGCAGAGAAATCTTACGGAGAAACGTCAAAGAAATTGACGCCCAGACGAATCGCCTCGTGAACACATTCCACCGCCGATTCTTCGCTGACCGACCCAAACACACTCCCCAGCGGCGATCCCCCAAATCCCAAAACGCTCACTTCCAGCCCCGTGCTCCCCAATTTCCTATACTTCATCGCTTCTTCCCTCTCGATAAACCCTAAAACCCCCTTCCTTTATATTAAAAGCTACTACCTTTATCTTAGCAAACCTTTAAAGGCAAAATAGAATTTACCAGCATATTCTCTAGGTTTAACTTTCTTTAACCGTGTTTAAGAAATATATAAGCATATTCTTCATGTTTAAAGTTAGATTAGACTAACTTAACTAGAATATACAAGCATATTCGGCAGATTTAAAACCTTTTCTTGGCGCCAAGCTTCGCGAACTTCACGTCTGGGTTGCGGGAGACGCCGGGCGACGAAGAGGACGAAGAGACGCTCCAGAGCGACGAAGATTGATCCTTGCCTTTGCTCGCGGCGGCGGATTTGGACGATCGCAGCAGCGGATGCTTGATCGCGCCGCTCGGGTTCTTCCCCATTCCATTCGCGACCAGCCAGCGCGATCCGGATTGCTGCTGCCGCTGGCTCCCCCAAGCTTGCTTCTTGGAAGAACTCCTGGAGGAAGAGGAGATCATGGAGCTGGGCTCGTCCACCGCGGAGCTCAGCCCCGCGACGTGGATGCCAGTCACCTTGAACTGTGGCTCGGCTTCCATCGCCGCTGCTCGATCGTCTTCTTCCTCGTCCATAGCTCTTGCTGTTGATTCCTCCTCGTCCTCCAGCTCCGGCTCACTGTTTCCTTTGAGCGCCACTCGCTTCCACAGCTTTGGCCGCGGCGACACCATCACTCTCTCCGCCTCGACCAGCGCCATCATCGGTGCTCCAACCGGCTCGAAGTTCCTCAGTGGATCTCTCAGCTGGACGAGCATCGCGAGCGTGAGAGTCTTTCCCATCTTTCCACCACCGCCGCTAGCACCACCTCCGCCATCACCATCGCCGCTAAGATTGAGCACCAGGTCCGCGGTAGTGGCCGCTTCATCCGCATGCGCTGCTCGGTGTGCCGCCATGACCGCCCTCGTCTTCTCGCTCGCCTCCTCGTCATCGTCCAGTCCCGCGTCCAGTCGCATCCACTCGTCCAGCGAGAGAGACATGGAGATCATCCCATCCGAGGATGGAGCTTCCAGTAGCAGCGACGAGCTTGACGATGATCCCTTGAGTAGCGGCACGCTCGCGGAGGCCTCGACCGAGTATGGAGCTTCCTCGTCCGCCATGTCGCACTGGATCTTGAGTCCTTGCATTGCCAGCTGCTCAATCTTTTCCATGGCCACCGGCGCGAGCTCGTCCAGTGACACGAACTCTCCCGCCTCCCGCGATCGTTGAGCAGTGATCGCTTTCTTGGCCCTGGAAGGCTGATAAAGTGCCGAGGAAGAGGCTGGGATCGCAAGAGCTTTGCTGCTGCTCCCATCTTCCAGAGCTAAGCGGTTGGATTCGAGCAGCGCAGCATCATATCTGCGAGAATTAACCATCGATCAAATGAGTCAAGGAAAGATCACTACTTCTGGCAAGCTTTCTCAGCGGTGAAAACAAGATCATTCTCGGTGGTGAAACAAGAGTAAACTACTTAAGAAAATCACGAAAAGGTGGTGGAAGAATATCAAGAATATCACGAGAAAGAAAAGGTGTATCGAGACTATCACGAGAAAGAGAGAACCACGATCAAAACCAAGCTCTCCAAGAACCATCGATCAAGCGAGCAAGCAGACACTACTTTGGACGAGGAAAACCATACCTTCGATTGCTCTCCTCCAAGCAAACTTGCCCCTCGAGCGCGATTTGCTCCACGCTCTTGCCCGTGATGTCCTCGAGCGGCATCGCCTCCATGGCCTGCGCCGCCATGCTCTCGCTCCCCGCAGCCGCAAAGTTGCGAAGAACATCCATAGCGCTCGCTCCCATGTCCGCCGGCACCACCACCGGCTTGGAGACGTGCATCACCAGCTTGCCATTGTTCTTCTTCCTCTCGCCAACACTGCTCTCGAACAGCGCCGGATCCATGGATCGCAAGCTCCCGCCATCGGCAGTGGGAACGCTGGATCCAACCCCGGGAGCAAGCGCCGGCAGCTCCTCCGCGAGCTTGGATCTCGGCACGAGAGACTGCAGTTCTTCCGGGTTGAGAGACGAAGAAGATGGTGGCGACCCATGGAAGATCTTCTCGTCGAGACCCCACTCCTGGAGCAGCGCCTCGGCCTCGGCGTCCTCGAGCATCTTCGCGCGAGCTTTGCTCCGAAAAGCTTGCGTCGCCTTTTGGAGCTCCGACTCGGCCGCGTCCATGATCGATGCTAGCTCCTTGTCATCGTCGTCGCTGTAGCTCCAATCCTCCGGGACGATCTTTTCGGCCACTGGCGCTCGAGCTTGCTCGACCGCTTTGTCACCTTTGTGTTCTTGATCTTCTTGGAGCTTTGGCGCTTGATCGTCCTCCAAGCCGAATCCTTCGAGCATGGATTCCTTCTCGAATTGCTTGAGCAGTAGAGCTCGCGGAGACTCCGACTCTTCTTCTTCTTCCTCTTCTTTCCCACCGCCGCCACCATCGCCGCCACCTTCTTGGAGCATATCCAGGAACTCATCCGCGACGATCTCATCGTCGTAGTCATGATCGCCCACCATCTTTTCATCCGTTCCAGCTCTGTCTTTGATGTCATACTCCGCCACCTTGATCGATTTCGATTCTTCGCGAGCTGCCCAGCCCGGATTCTTGAGGCTGTCAAACAGATAGTCCTGCTCAAGCTCCTGCTTCCAGTCGTAGTCCTGCTGCTTCCAATCCATGTTCTCGGCCTCCTCGTCGATTTTCTTCCGGTCGACGGTCTCGGCCGGACCCTCTCGATCGCTTTCTTTGGATTCTTGTTCCTCAACTTGGTGTCCTTGGAGATCATTTGTAGCGCCATTTTCTTTTTCGTCATCTTCCTCCTCAAACTTATAGTCCAGGCTTTGCTCTTGCTCATCCTCTTGCTGCTCCTGTTCTTCCACTTCTCTCGGCTCGTCTGGAACACTACTCTCCTTCCGATCCATCGGTGCGATGGACCCGCTAAACTCCTCCAGCACGCTCGTCTCCACGCCCTTCTCCACAACTCCAAACTCCGCGGCATCGTCCAGTTGCTCCACATCTTCCACAGCATGTTGCTGCTGTTCTTCTTCGCGCTCTTGGCTCCGTCCCGGAGTCCCCGGAGCAATCGCCGCATCAATCTCCGGAAACAAGGACTTCCCGCGCCGATGATCGCTCAATACTCCATCCATGGACGTCCGGGTGGTGGTGTTGGCAGTGGCGCTGGCCTTGAAAGTTGGCGGTGGCGGTGGAAGTCCCTGCGGCCGTGGTGGCGGCGGCTCTTCCGGATCATCCAGCTTGAACTGATCCATCCCAGCGAAATCCTCGTACTCGTTCCCGGGCTCCGACGCTGCCGGCGATCCAAAGTCCGCGACGCTGCTCGACGTCTTCTTGTGGAACTTGGAGCCGTGCGGCGAATTCGGCAGGCTGTTGAACGATCGCGACACCGCTCCGCCGCGCGACTGCCCGAGACGTCCGCTACTTCCCATGATCTTGCTGCCACCGCCACCGCTCTCCAAGATCTCATACCCGAAAGTCACCGAGAGAGAGCTCCCTTTGGCCTTGCCCGAGAGTTTGAAGCTCGTGTTCCAGGCGGTGGTGGCGGTGGGCTTGGCGGCGCCGCTGGATTCCTGCGATGGGAGTATCCGGCTGAGGTCGAGCTGGTGCTTGCCAAGATCGAGCTCCTCCACGTCCATTGCCACCACCGAGAGCGTGAAGGACTTGGCCATGTACTTGATCGTCCCGGAGGACTTGCTCTTGGATCCATAGACTGTGCATCGAAAATGGAGGATCTCCTGGAACTCGGCGCTGCCGTGCGAGGCCCTGGCGGGCATGGTCTGGACGCCGGTGTCACGGTGGCGGAGCTGGACTTGGAGGCGAAGCCCATTCATGGAGGATGGGAGCTTGTCGATGGAATGGACGTGGGCGGAGAACTCGCAGGGGAATCGCTGCTGGCCGATGTGTGAGAGCGCGCGGAGTGGCTTCCAATTCCAGAAGCCTTTCTTTTGATTCCCCCCGCCGGCCAGCCTCGCCGCGTCGATCTCTTCCTCCTCTGCTAACGATTCGTCCAGTTCTTTATCACCGGTGGTGTTCTTGCGGCCAATGTCGGAGATGGAGTGCCTGGATTCCAGCGCGGAGGGATTGGGCGGAGCTTTCTGGGGACGACCCACTGCCTCGCTCACTCTCCGGCGGTGACCCATCTGATCAAATTCGCGTCTTGGCGCTGGATTCGTGGTGGGCGCCTGGACGATCTGGGCTTTGTACAGAGCTTGGCTCAGAGCTTCTAGTTCTTGGAGGAGAGCTCCTCCTCCTCCTCCTCCTCCACTAGGATTTTTGGAGGCCTTCATCAATCGATTCCCTCCTTTTCTTTCTCGATTTCTTCTGGCTCGCTCATCGATCCATAGACTCGCGATTGAAAAAAACCTCTTTTTATATTACCTCGTGAGTGGAGCTTCTTGTTCTTCTTCTTGTTTGCGCGATTTTCTTTCTATTTCTTCGCCATCGCCGTCGTCTCGCGCACTGGCTGGGAACACTCCGATAAGGGGATAAACAAGTACACGAAACAAAGGCAAAAAAATCGGCCCAAGGAAAGAAAAATGATAAGAGAAGGAGTTCTCGTGTGATTGATTGATTCCAATCCAATCTCTCAAAGGTTCGTAAATCATTAAAAAATCCATCCCCAGCTTATCTCCCCCACACATTGCCGCAAATCTCGAAATTTTTTTCTTCTTTTTGTCTTTGTTTGTTCTTGGCAGTTTGCTGCGATATTCGTGTGGTTCCCAACACTGCACCATTCCTTTTCCAGCCTTCCTTTAAGGGTTTAGTTAAAGGTTCTTAAACCCTAAACTAATATTATCAACTAACTATTCCGTACGAAAAAAGTTCTTGCTCAAGGTTTTATAAAATCTCAAACAAAGTTAGATCGGACTTGGTCAATGCTACGCTCGTCCAAGAAGAAAGTCTTCTCGAGCACCTCGTCCGGTACCTCTGGGCGGGATCCAAACATGGATCTTGCAATGAACTGGATTCCGGGGAGCTGGGAGTTGAGAGTGGCGATGATCTTCGCGTTGGTCCTTCCTACGTTCATCTGCCAGTGGATTAATCCGCGAGGAATCACCATGACTTCTCCCCTGTTCATCACTCGGGCAAACAGGCGATTGTCCGCGGTGACGATGGCGGCGTAGACGGTCCCTTCTTCTACATAGACCATCTCCGAGGCTCTGGGATGCGTGTGTGGGGGGATGATTCCTTCCGGGAGAAAGTCGAGCCTAGCGATGGAGAGACCCAAAGTGTTGAGGCCTGGAAATCTCAGCACGGTTCCGAAGATGGCGCCAGAGCGATTGATGTTTGTGGTGTTGGAGGAGTTGACGATCCCGCTGTAGATGAAATCGTCCACAGTAACTGTGGAGGAGTTCGTGCACGGGAATCCATTGATCCCGGGGACAATGTTGAGATCTCCGATGCAAAAGTCCTGGAGTGGATCTGGATCGGATGAAACGACTGCGCACACGAAGAATGCGAGCAAAGAAATCGAGAGGGCGTGAGAAGTGGAGAAAGCCATATCCAATCCCAGATCGAGGAAAGAGGAAAAACTCGATATTAAGCTCTCGGAGATGAATGTACTACTGGATTTGTGACGAGAAATCATTCCCTTGAATGATATATATATACTAGGAATTGCGACGCTACATGCATACACACGGAAGAATTTGAAAGCGAGTGAGCCACCATAATGGAACACCATCAGATTTAAGGTCAACGAGAAAAGTCAAAGCTGTCGATCTCATTGCAAGGAAAGGGCCACGGGTTTTCGCTGGAAATTTTGGGCTCCAGTAATCTCCACTCCCATTGCTAAAGTGATGGACTTCCCTCCCACCATCTTGGACGTTCTTGAGGAACCTCAGCTGCGGTCCTTGTTCCACCGCCATGGTATCTATCGCCTCTGTCACCAAGCCATGCCCCCAAATCATGCTCCTGGGGCAGCCAAGATCATCCAAGTGGACATAAACATAAACTTTCGTCCAGTAGAAGAACCTCACTGCCTCGTCGAAATGCTCCCGGCAATGCAAAAAGCATGCACCACGAGACTCGATTTCTGTCCGGTGTTACAGGCAAGGGCAACAAGAATGGTCACCACAACGTCTTGGTCATGCCTTGGCCCGAATGTCGATTTTGCTGCCTTTTTTGTTTTGGCAGAAGGAAAAAAACTCGTCTCATTTTTCCGATGATTTTCAATTTTCAATCTTCAATGTCTACCCCGGCAATTGGAGATGCTTCTCCAAGTTGGTCCCAAGATTATCATTTCTCTTGTTTCTTTAATTCCTCCACGTAAATCTGCTGCAAGAAGGTTGTACGCATATCTCGAATCCACTTGCCTGTCGATGCTAAAGTCGCCCACAATCTCCAGATCCCTTATTAACAGCCTCACAGCATAAAAAAGCCCATTGGTCTACAAAAGTGGAAATGACTGAATCCCAGTCTTCCTTTGTGTCTAACAGCTTGCCAACTTCCTTCGACGTCAAGTCGCGCGATTCAGGCCAGCGTCCGGCATGGGATCCACATCTATAAGATCCCACAGTTTCGCAGTAGCAACTTCTATGCAGACCCTGTCTAGGATATTCAGCGAGTGCGGATGGTTGGCTGCACAATACTCCACTTGTTGACGTCTACACGGGTCATCATCTACAACGGCAGCTAGAACCGAAGCCTGCTTGCACTTATATATTTCTCCAGCCAGAACTGATCATACATATTTGGTTGTACAACAAAGAGCACAGCTGTGCTGGATTCAGTAGCTTTTAAAAGACCTCGTGTTCCCAAATTCTTTCCAAGCAAGTCCCAAGACATCACCAAATGCAACAGGGACGTCGTTAAAAGAGTTGAGCATTTCCCGAGAACATGAGAAAAATTATCTACAACTATGAAACACGCAACAGAAAAGTATGAAAAAAAGAGAGGTTTTGATGAAAGGATTTGCGGAGGTAACCACGCCCAGCATGAGTTTGAACCCTCTTAGTGGTATCCATTCAACGCAGACTTTTTCTGTGAGATCTGTGAAGTTAGCTAAGGAACCTTTCTCTCTGTTGATTGGTCACTATCTATGTGTGCGATGATCTTGGCTATTTTCAGAAAAGAATTTTATAAACGGGGCAAAATCTCATACGAAGTTGGATCGGACTTGGTTGATGCCACGCTCATCCAAGAAAAAAGTCTTCTCGAGCACCTCGTCGGGAACCTCTGGCCGAGATCCAAACATGGATCTTGCAATGAACTGGATTCCGGGAAGCTGGGAGTTGAGAGTGGCGATGATCTTCGCGTTGGTCCTTCCTACGTTCATCTGCCAGTGGATTAATCCGCGAGGAATCACCATGACTTCTCCCCTGTTCATCACTCGGGCAAACAGGCGATTGTCCGCTGTGACGATGGCGGCGTACACGGTCCCTTCTTCTACGTAGACCATCTCCGATGCTCTGGGATGGGTGTGTGGAGGGATGATCCCTTCCGGGAGAAAGTCGAGCCTAGCGATGGAGAGACCCAAAGTGTTGAGGCCTGGGAATCTCAGCACGGTTCCAAAGATTGCACCGGAGCGATTGATGTTTGTGGTGTTGGAGGAGTTGACGATTCCGCTGTAGATGAAATCGTCCACCGTGACTGTGGACGTGTTCCTGCACGGGAATCCATTGATCCCGGGGACGACGTTGAAATCTCCGATGCAAAAGTCCTGGAGTGGATCTGGATCGGATGAAACTACTGCGCACACGAAGAATGCGAGCAAAGCAATCGAGACAGCGTGAGATTTGGAGAGAGCCATAGTTGATGATCAAGAGGGAAGAACTACTGGATGAATCTTTGCGACGAGTGGATCGATGGATGTGATGAATAACGATTGCCTTGAATGATATATATACCTAGAAAATGTGATGCTACTTGGATGCTGCGCGTACACACTCCTCGTGAGAGTGGGAAGAATTTGAAAGCCGAGTGAGCCACCATACTGGAACCGATGAATCACATTTTTGGTCAAGGTGGAGAAAGTCAAACATTGACTAAGGATAGTGTATTGAATAATACACTATCAGTTACTGCTGCCACCTGGAAGCTGATCGATGTCCACAAGGTAAACAAAGTTCCTACTTTGGATCCGGGTCCTAGGCCAGGAAAGCAATCAACGTGGTAGGCTTGCCCGATGCTCTGATGTGGTTTGATATGCTTCCCGGAGAGGAGATACTGGTAGTCGGGCCCAAGGGCGATGGCAAGTCTTGCAAGGCTCAGGGCATTTGCCTCTCTCCTTTGCACTGCAGCTCCGAAGAAGACCATAGTGCTGTGCTTATGGAACATGGAACGAGCTAGCAGTTGCCTCATTGATTTATTTGTTGATGCGCTCAAGCTTGCGTACGCCGAGCAGCCCAACGTCACGGCCGACACTGTAAGGGATCTCGCTTCACTCAAGGCTTTTCTGGAGGATCGGATGGGTCTGGGCGAGGATATCATTCATTGTCGATGGTGTTGAGGGATTGGACCCAGTGAAGTGGAGGTATGATGCCAAGGAGCGCCTCCAAGCTTACGAGTCGATAATGGATGTTCTCTGTAGCTACAAGGTGATCTTAGGGATGTTGTCTGATGCTATGCACTACAGGAAATACGGAAGGGCGGACAACTACAGGATCAAAGTCTTTCGAACAGAAGGTTTCACCAAGGTTTGTGGTCGCTTCACTTGCATGCATGCCTGCATGTCACTAATAGGTTGTGATGTTTGCATTTGCAGGAACAAGTGCAAGCAGGCTTCGGTTCTAGCTGCCGTTGTAGATGATGACCCGTGTAGACGTCAACAAGTGGAGTATTGTGCAGCCAACCATCCGCACTCGCTGAATATCCTAGACAGGGTCTGCATAGAAGTTGCTACTGCGAAACTGTGGGATCTTATAGATGTGGATCCCATGCCGGACGCTGGCCTGAATCGCGCGACTTGACGTCGAAGGAAGTTGGCAAGCTGTTAGACACAAAGGAAGACTGGGATTCAGTCATTTCCACTTTTGTAGACCAATGGGCTTTTTTATGCTGTGAGGCTGTTAATAAGGGATCTGGAGATTGTGGGCGACTTTAGCATCGACAGGCAAGTGGATTCGAGATATGCGTACAACCTTCTTGCAGCAGATTTACGTGGAGGAATTAAAGAAACAAGAGAAATGATAATCTTGGGACCAACTTGGAGAAGCATCTCCAATTGCCGGGGTAGACATTGAAGATTGAAAATTGAAAATCATCGGAAAAATGAGACGAGTTTTTTTCCTTCTGCCAAAACAAAAAAGGCAGCAAAATCGACATTCGGGCCAAGGCATGACCAAGACGTTGTGGTGACCATTCTTGTTGCCCTTGCCTGTAACACCGGACAGAAATCGAGTCTCGTGGTGCATGCTTTTTGCATTGCCGGGAGCATTTCGACGAGGCAGTGAGGTTCTTCTACTGGACGAAAGTTTATGTTTATGTCCACTTGGATGATCTTGGCTGCCCCAGGAGCATGATTTGGGGGCATGGCTTGGTGACAGAGGCGATAGATACCATGGCGGTGGAACAAGGACCGCAGCTGAGGTTCCTCAAGAACGTCCAAGATGGTGGGAGGGAAGTCCATCACTTTAGCAATGGGAGTGGAGATTACTGGAGCCCAAAATTTCCAGCGAAAACCCGTGGCCCTTTCCTTGCAATGAGATCGACAGCTTTGACTTTTCTCGTTGACCTTAAATCTGATGGTGTTCCATTATGGTGGCTCACTCGCTTTCAAATTCTTCCGTGTGTATGCATGTAGCGTCGCAATTCCTAGTATATATATATCATTCAAGGGAATGATTTCTCGTCACAAATCCAGTAGTACATTCATCTCCGAGAGCTTAATATCGAGTTTTTCCTCTTTCCTCGATCTGGGATTGGATATGGCTTTCTCCACTTCTCACGCCCTCTCGATTTCTTTGCTCGCATTCTTCGTGTGCGCAGTCGTTTCATCCGATCCAGATCCACTCCAGGACTTTTGCATCGGAGATCTCAACATTGTCCCCGGGATCAATGGATTCCCGTGCACGAACTCCTCCACAGTTACTGTGGACGATTTCATCTACAGCGGGATCGTCAACTCCTCCAACACCACAAACATCAATCGCTCTGGCGCCATCTTCGGAACCGTGCTGAGATTTCCAGGCCTCAACACTTTGGGTCTCTCCATCGCTAGGCTCGACTTTCTCCCGGAAGGAATCATCCCCCCACACACCCATCCCAGAGCATCGGAGATGGTCTACGTAGAAGAAGGGACCGTCTACGCCGCCATCGTCACCGCGGACAATCGCCTGTTTGCCCGAGTGATGAACAGGGGAGAAGTCATGGTGATTCCTCGCGGATTAATCCACTGGCAGATGAACGTAGGAAGGACCAACGCGAAGATCATCGCCACTCTCAACTCCCAGCTTCCCGGAATCCAGTTCATTGCAAGATCCATGTTTGGATCTCGGCCAGAGGTTCCCGACGAGGTGCTCGAGAAGACTTTTTTCTTGGATGAGCGTGGCATCAACCAAGTCCGATCCAACTTCGTATGAGATTTTGCCCCGTTTATAAAATTCTTTTCTGAAAATAGCCAAGATCATCGCACACATAGATAGTGACCAATCAACAGAGAGAAAGGTTCCTTCGCTAACTTCACAGATCTCACAGAAAAAGTCTGCGTTGAATGGATACCACTAAGAGGGTTCAAACTCATGCTGGGCGTGGTTACCTCCGCAAATCCTTTCATCAAAACCTCTCTTTTTTTCATACTTTTCTGTTGCGTGTTTCATAGTTGTAGATAATTTTTCTCATGTTCTCGGGAAATGCTCAACTCTTTTAACGACGTCCCTGTTGCATTTGGTGATGTCTTGGGACTTGCTTGGAAAGAATTTGGGAACAC